TCATTAACAAAAATATTGGCACCAGCCACAACATATTTTGGTTGTCACTTACAAGGATTATATTGAAACAACTATGCACTGCAATTCTAACACACTACGTGTTTATACACTGCAGTTAGCCCCCGAAGCTTTAAGCTACCAGGAATTCCCACATTTCCTATGCACAAATTTACTTTGTGCATTATTGGGATCACATTTCCAGTTTTCAGACCTCTTTCCCTCCCACCCCCACACACATGCAGTATGATATATGTGGTAGAGAGCACTCCAGTTTCCTCTATTTGACTAATAGCACGTTCCTGATTACCTCAACAGTTTGTTAATCTTGGAGCTTCTGCTTTAGCTCTCATCTCATAAAAACAAAATAAAGCATCTGAGAACCTGTTCCAGGAATAATTTGTCTTATGCATAGGAAAATAAAGCATTTCATATAAGCATGTCTGAAAATCCAAGAGGCATTCTGAGCAAACACCCCTGAATTCCAGCTATTACTTTAAAATCAAAATGAAAATCTTACATATACCATTTACAAATTCTCATCTGGAATTTGTATTCTTCACCTGGAAATTCGATTCCCAGGCTTCACCTCTGATCAGAAAGGATAGCCAAGAAACTGACGTCCCACATTAGCTGACAATAAAGTTAGCTTGGGTAGACATTATGACACACGGAGATGAATTTAATGCTTTCCAAGAATACACTTGTGCTACAAAGGTGAGAAATTAGAATGATAAAATCATCAGATGGCAAAAAGTACTGGCATTTAAACAAAAGTGTCTTAATAAAACTATGGTACAATGTGCCATTAAGACTGCTAGAATTGGCAGCTCTACAAGACGACAAAATACTTTTTATCAAATAAGGGAATTGGAATTCGAAGCTAATACTCTTTCCTGCCATTCTCCAGCAAGTATTCCTGTAGAATTAAGTCTACTGAATAACAAGAACCAAATTGATCAATTCTAGTTGTTCCTTCTTTTACAGATTGAAAAGAAACCAAACTCTGCCCGCACTTGCCCTCAAACCCAGCACAGGACACTCCCTTTCAAGTTGTATACAAAACCTCCTGGCAGGTTTGGTTGAGCTACAATTCAGATACTGTTATCAAAAAGCTACTTTGATAAGAACAAAACACCAGACCAACATTATCAATATCCTAGTTAGGCATCACAAAAATCACACTCTAAGAATATGCTCTTTACTGACAAAATTTGGGCCATTATAGCTGTTTCAAAGTAGAAAAGTCCCATTTACATTGACATAAACTAGATCTGCGTGTTTATTTGTGTCTATGCGTGTGTATAATTTTCATGCAATGATCTTAAAACTTTGGAGACAAGGATTATTTGCCTAATTTCAAAGCTTGTCCACATGGCAGTACTGATATGCACCAACTCTGCTAAAGGGCAGGAGAATGAAGAAGACCATGGCACACATTCTTTTTAAACAATTTTAGGTTTAATTACATAATGCACCTGTAGATGTTCTAGCATAAACACAGTTGTAAAAATCTACATCCTATTTTAGGGTATTTTCCCACTTCTCATCCCTTAAAAGCTGTACAGTTATAAAAATGTGACTCTCAAGCAAAATAAACTTTGTTTTTTTTTTGCAACATACAAAATAAGTTAAACGATTCAGAAGGTCTTGAGCCATTACGTTTCCCCATGACTGTGTCTGGCTATCCATAAGCATGACATGTGGCTCCTGGTCTATGACCAGAACTCAATAAATACAGGCCCAACAAAACCCCAAACACTTAAATTAGATTTCTTTAGAAGCTGATGAAAGTTAAGAAAACATATAGTTAGGGTTAACAATTCTATTCTTAACTTACATTATCCAGTGGCAAAATGAACAAGGCGGGTCACTCAGTCCTTAGTGCATTTTCTAGCTTGTACCGGTTTGGCAAAAAAACCACAAATGTAGTTCCTTTAAAAAATGTTTTTTCTTATTCAAAATGTCTAAAGAGCTTAATTAAAACATCTCTACACATCAATTAATTTGTTATGCCCTCTAATATAACTTATGCATAGGATAGACATCTTAAAGTAATTAAAATAAAAACAGCATCTTCACTAACTGAAATCACTAAATGTGCCAGAATTGGGTTTGCAGCATTTCCCAGAGCAAGATGGTATAAATATAAAATGCACACAAACAAACAAAAACAAACTGAGCTTACATGACCAAAATGAGGAGAAAAAGCCACTCATGGAATCCTAATAAATTTCTGAGAGAAGTGATATGAATAAAAAGTGTTGCATGTTCAATCTAAGGTATTTATATACCAAGCATACTACATTTTGGCTTTTAACGACTGCTCGCTTGCTGGGCAATAACCCTATCTTCAACACATGTTACACAGTTCCTTAGCAATTCTTGGCACTCAAAAACTGTCAGATGATCATTTACGTTGGAGTGAAATATTTTGAAAACAAACTAAGTGTACACATAACACAATAACCCAGTTTAAATACACTGATAGCAAAAGGCGTCGCGTTCAGGATTGGCATAAAAACAATCAAGAAAATCAGCAGTTAGCTTGCCACTTCCAAGGTAGTTTATAGCTACACACTGGGAATGGTGGATGAAATAGGAATGGATTTTGTTCTAAGTTTAATAACAGATATTAAGCAGAGGACCAGGTAGATTACAACAGATCTGCAGTTTTGGCATTCTCACTTCTTGGGAGAACCAGGAATATATTTTTAGAATGTCAAACCAAGAAAAGGACCTTCACAACTTTCCTCTAGACCAGTGGTTCTCAACCTTTCTAATGCCGCAACCCTTTAATACAGTTCCTCATGTTGTGGTGACCCCCAATTTCATTGTTACAAATTGAACATAATTAAAGCATAGTGATTAATCACAAAAACAATATGTAATTATATATGTGTTTTCCAATGGTCTTAGGTGACCCCTGTGGAAGGGTCGTTCGGCCCCCAAAGGGGTCGCGGCCCACAGGTTGAGAACCGCTGCTCTAGACTTTCTGTAATTAAATGTTCATAATTTCATATCAGTTATAATTATTTATCTGATTTTTGTCAATGATTTCATAGGATTCATTTTTATCCTAATATCTAAAGTACGTATACATGTTTATATATATATATATTCATTCCATAAAAAAAAAGATCTATAGCTGTGAGGAAATGCCATGAATTATGGCCTGTTCCATCGTGTTGGGGAAAGGCAGAGTTCACAACGTTTTCTGAGTGTGAAACTTGAAGATTCATTAGGTTCCTTTCAGTTGTATGGTAGTACAAACTAGCGAATGGTGAACAATTCGCAGCCCCACAAACATAAGCTACAAAAGCATTCCTTATGACAAAGGAAATCCCATCAACCCCACTTAAAAATAGCTAACATCTCCCCATTTTACCTCTAAATAACAAGTAAACTTCTACATTTTCTTTACTATATGTACCTTGCTCAAAACACATATTATGGGATGGGTCCTATCAACTAGAAAATGAAAACTGGAGTTTATATCCTTTTAAAATTAGTTTAAAAATCTTTTTGCAACAGCTTCCTCATCATTTGAAGTCCTTGGTTCTTTGGCAGGTCAAACTTATTAAAACGATTATCAGTAGACGTGAATTGATTCTAAATGAAACTCTTTACTCTCTGAATTTGCCATCTTAACCAAATGGAAAAAGATGTGTCCAGGAAACCCAACCTCAATATATCAGGTGTATTCTAGAAAATATCCCTGCCATCATTCTGTAGTAATGTACCAACATTGGAAAATGTTTCACATAGAACACTATTTCATCAGCACAAATCTATAAAACCAAAAGGTGTATTTTCAGTCTGAATTTTTTCACATAATTAAAAGCCTCTACTTTATGACAATTTGGCTCATTTTCAAACCTTTACAGAAACTGCAAACTACATAGCCTGAGTACTAAACTACATCTCCCGTTAATACATTTGCTTTACACGATGGAGTTTTATATCAGGAATCCAAATTGTATTTCAAAAAAGGGGGGGTTAAAGTATTAAACGACTCTATTGTGAACCTAAATCCATGGTTAGTACTCCAATAACAAGGACTCAAGATGTTCTATACCCTAGATGAATTGCTGCTTTCCTATGCACTGTCCAGTTCCTAATGACTGAATTATGTCTTGGGATATAAAATGTTTACTATTTCCTAATTTTTAAAAACTTCTTCAAAGTATGTTCAGAGTTAATATTTCAGTGAACAGACTCTTTCAGGGACTGAATCTAAACACCAATTAGCAGAGTTGTTTTTTAACTGTTCAACATTTAATCACTCAATGAATCTCTCTGCATAAGAATTTATAAGTATCAGCTGCTTGGATTACATTCTTTGTAAATGAAAGTTAATTAGTTTAATCAGAGTGTAAGGTTAGAAGGAACACACTATCAACTTCACAAACAATTCAAGTTGGTAAACAATGGGCAGCAAAAGTGGTATCATAATGTCCCATATCAATGGGACATTTGCTGAATGAATGCTCAGTCTTCACAATGATAAAAAATTACCTTTTGCTCTCTGTAACAGAAGAGTACAAAGAACTCATTTCACATTAGGCGTCCTGTAAAAGAAATAATCTACCCATTTAATACTTATCACTTGCTTAACTGAACAGAATAGGTGGAAGCAGGAGCTGGTGTGTCCAGAGGTAGAAACAGGGCACATGGGAGTTTCCACACATAGTGGCTTGACCAGCTTGCAGGACTACCAGTAAAATAGTAGAGGGAGAATGGGAACAGGATAGGCCACTGGAACATTCTAGCCACTTACCTTGCACTAGTGGGAATCCTTCTATGGCCTGACTGTTTAAAAAGGCTAACATTCTTAAGACTTCCAAATAAAAGAAACAAACCTAACTAGAAAGGAGGCTTGTTAATGAATGTGGCTCCTTACATAGCCCTCTGCTCTATTGTCTGTGAATATGAGCCCTTCCCTCCCTTCCAGTGGAACATTGTCTCAAAATAAAAATCACAACTTACTTGGAACCACATGCTATGTGTGCACCCTATTTTTAGGCTGCTTTCATTATTTTATTTTTTATACAGATACATATACATTGCTAGAATCAAAGCAAAAATATTAATGGGCAGGTACTACAGAACTAAAGTGAAACAAAACAAATAAAAGAACCAATAACTGAAGAACAACAGCTATAAACTTTCAAGGTCAAAAAGATAAGATTTAAGGGCAACACCTGTTGAGGAGGGAAAAGAAGGAGTATAAAGTTTCTAGAGAGGTATTTATAATGCAAGTCTAATGCCAGCTTTTTAATAATAAAAAAGAGAAGTGCTTTACTATACACTGACTAGCACATATGCTTAATTTGGAAAGAAAAATTAATGAAGTTCTTGGGCCAGCAGCAGATATGGTGTGTCCATTGCCGGCAACAGACACAACACTGGAACAGAAAAACCCAAATCCCAGGGCAAAAGTATTCACAGAAGTAATGGCTGAAGGTTTCAGAATTTGACAGGCAAGGTTTAATCTCAAGTGCTACACTTTGTACAATGTTATTTATGGCTCTGCCTGAAATTTTACAGCTGTAACAGAAACTAAGACAAAGCTCATATTTTAGTGTCAATTACATGTTAGATACAAACCCCTTTTCTTGAAACAAAGGGCTTAACTTTTTTTTTTTAAGTGTTGAGATGTTTGAAATGGATGTCATGCCTATTAAGTACACTGGTGTTCTCAATCAACTCTATGTTGGTCATGTGACTATTGATGAATTTTAATAGAAGTCTAATAGCCAAAGGCAAAAACTACATTCAAACCCTGCTAATATATCCAGGCAGATAAGAAAGTACAACACACACACATACATACATACATACACACACACACACACACACACACATGCTAAAACTCAAACTAAAAATCTCCCAAAGGAACTGCTTTGTTTGTAGACTTCAATTTGAAGTAGATACTAAGGGCAAGAATAAACCAGTTAAAATTCACCTGAAAATCCTTTCCCCTTCTTCAAATGTGCTAAAATACCACTATCAGCTTAGCATCTCTTCATGTATGTTATGTATAGATGTATTTGTTTCAAAATGATATTTTATATATTTAAATAGGTGGCCAGAACAAAAGAGTTACACTATCTGCAAAGTTTACAGTCCACTGGGCCTTAAAAGAAGACTACACTCATTTCACTAATAACTTTCCATGATAGTACATTAGAGGCCACCTCATCATCATTGCATAAAGCTGTTTTAAATTTGTTGCTAGCACAATCTGGTTGTCAAAGCTTCATTTTACATTTTACTGTACAAATACTTTTCAGATGATTTTTTTAAAACAAGAAACTCTGCTATACCAAACGTAGAGGTTTTTTTTAGGATGGTACCCTTTTGGACTCTTCTTTATTAAGTGTGGTTATCTCCAATAGTAAACAAGTTGATTCATGAATGCTGCTACTAAATGACTTACGTATGATGTTATCTACAATTCTCAAACTGCAACAACACAGACTTGAACTTTTAAACAGTCTGTTAATCATCATCTATGCCATGAATGTTTAAATATAATATATATTTAATATGAAAAAGCTAAAGCACAAGTGCTTTCTCCCACCCCTAATTCTGTTCTCGGCCCTCGCAGATCCGGAATGCATTCTTTATCCACCCTTTTTCACAAAGTCAGGAGAGCTCAGGAAATATAAAGTCAAAAATATACAAATCTTTGTTGTTATTATAATAAGATTTTTTTTTCCATGAATGAAATTACCAAGGACCATGAACTTGGAAAAAGAAAATCAAAAGGAATTTACAGCAATTATTTATCTTCAAAGTTCAAAACTGGTCACTTCACAGAAAGACTTCAGGGTTTGTTGAAATTTTTCTTCTAAAAAGTCATTCTGTAGTGGAGTTTTCTAGGAAAAATAAAACCGCTTTTAATAACTGGCCCGCTGGTGTGAGAGCTACCGTGGAATAAATTAGCACAAAAATGGAAAAAAAGTCTTATAACTGTTCACTGTTACAGACGTAATCAACAAGGTCAGTCACTCTCAAAAGCTCATCTTCGTCCTCTTCTGGTGCCCCTGCCTCCTGCCCACCACTTGTCCCATTGGGGGCCAGGCTTGCACTGGCTGTGCTGTTGTCCTTGGGGGTCTGAGGCTTCTCAGCTGGCTTGCCAATCAAATTCTCAATGGCTTTGCCAGGACTCTGTCCATTGGTGGAAGGTAAGTCCACTAAGCTATAGTCCAATGGGCTTCCCACCTTGCCTACATTTTCAAAGTCCTCTTCCTCATCACTGTCTATCCGATAGGGCTTCTTGGTGCTCTCCTGTTCTGAGGGCAGGACCCTGGGCTGGCTATCACGGGCAGGCTCATCTGCATCTCCATGAACATTGTCACAACTCTCCTCGTCTGTCTCAATCCGGTGTAGCCGTTTTCGGGATGGTTTGTCTTCCTCTTCTGCTTCTGAATACTCATCTGCACTTCGACCCCGCTTTCGAACTGACCGCTTTGATTCTTTAGCTAGCTCCTCATCTTCAGAGTTCTTGGACATATAGCTCTCTAGAATAAACAGCACATTTAACCATAAACAAATTTGAGTACTTCTCCTTTTCCTCCCCATTCATGATGTGTCCTGCTTTCAGACTTGTTTGTACACAAATATGTCCCTTCAATAATTGGCCTGATTTTTCTCTCCTCTCAGTCCCATAACAATACCCAATGGGATTCATATGTACCTATGATTTTAGGAAAGAGCAGAATCAAATTTTTTGGCGAAATCTTGCCCAACTCTGGACAACTGAAACACTGTGCTGACTCTCATCCCATGTTATTAAATGTCCTTGCTAGTCTTTAAATGTCTTCCCTTGTCTATACTCACATCTATGTGATCCAACCTAGTCTCATGGCTTGGCATAACATCTATATGCTGGTAACTCTCACATTTGTTTTTAGGTACCCCCTAAATTCCAGACTCGTGTCAAATTGCTTACTCAACACCTATGCTTGGATTTCTAAACAGACATCTCAAACCTAAAGTGTTATCTGAGCTCCTAAACCCCCACCTCAAATTTGTGCTATTCTGATCTCCACCTTCTCGGTTATTGACAACTCTATTCTTCCAATTGCTCACTTATCCTTGACTCCTTCCTACCATCTAATGCAACAGTTAATCCTTTAGGTCTACCTTCAAAATATATCCATAATTTGACTTTTTCATCCCTTTGTCGCTTCTACCCTAGTCTTACCTACCATCATCTCTCACCTGGCCTATTTCAATGGCCTCCCACCTGATCCTAGATTCTAACCATGTCCCCTTCAATTAATGCATAACACAGCTACCATAATCAAACAAAAACATGTCAGGTCATATCACTCACTTCTACAAAATTCTCATTATTTCTCATCTTACACCAAATAAAATCCTAAATCTATATACAATAGCCTACTACACTTATCCAATGTGGTAGCCAGTAATGACATATGGCTACTTTAAATTTAAATTAGAATTAAATAAAAATTAAAAATTCAGTTCCTCCATTACACTAGCCACATTTCAAGTGCTCAATAGTCACATAATACTAGTGGCTACTATTTGAACAGCACACAGAATGTTTTCATCAGTGCAGAAAGTTCAACTGAACAGCACTGATACTCCTCAGGGGTTGGAAAAATATTTTTGTAAAGGGCAGTCTCTAGTACAACCATTCAACTTTGTGTGAAAGCAGTACAGACTGTATGTAAAAAAAAAAAATGGCTATGGCTATGTTCCATTATAACTTGATTTACAAAGTGTTTATTTACACAAACAGGTAGGCTGTAGTTTGCTGACTATTGCTCAACGTGATCTGGTCCCTGTTGATCTCCCTGCTTCACCTCATCCTTTTCTTCCCCTCCAACCTGGCCTCCCTTCTATTCTTTGAACATGCCAGGCACAAACTTGCCTTATGACCTTCACATTGTGGTTTCACATGCCTGAATCACTCTTCTTAGAAAACTGCATGACATACACTCAACATTTCTTTCAGGTCTTTACTCAAATGTTGTCTTCTTAGGGAGATATTCACATGGTACCCAACCTGAAATTCCAACTACTCTCCCAACCCAAATTTCTCCCTTATTTTGCTCTACAGCTTTTATCTCCACCTAACAGATTATATATTCTACTTATTTATCTTGTATATTATCTTTGTTCCCCCGACCCCCACTAAAAGTTACATGACGAAGTTACCCATGGTTTTTGGCTCTTTTGTTCACTTTCCTATTCTCAGTGCCTAGAATAGTGAATAGTATTTGCTTTTTAGAGTTGAATTAATGAATTCATGTTTGTTTTTAATGACACAAGAAAATAACACACATTCAACCCGAAGTTCACCTTCCTTCTTTAACCTCCCCTATTCAAATATATTTCCCCCTTTTCTCTCCTGGCATGCACTCACACTTAATTGATAAGGATCTATGAAAGCAAACAATCTTCAAAACAGATAATTAAATATATAAAAAAGAAACAGGAAAAGGAGAGAGTTAGAATCATTTAATAAAGTAAACTTGGAAAGAATTCTGGAATAACTCCAGACACTAAATGGAGGCCCTGGACAGGTGGCTCAATTGGTTGGAGGGTCATCCGTGCACCAAAAAGGTTTCGGGTCCTGGCCAGTTTTGCTCAGTGGATAGAGCGTCAGCCTGTGGACTGAAGGGTCCCAGGTGCAATTCCGGCCAAGGGCACATGCCCAGGTTTCGGGCTTGAACCCAGTGGGGGGCGTGCATGAGGCAGCCAATCAATGGTTCTCTCTCATCATTGATGTTTCTATATCTCTCTCCCTCTCCCTACCTCTCTGAAATCAATAAAAGAAATATATTAAAAAAAAAAAAGGTTTCGTGTTCCATCCCCAGTCAGGGCTTTACAGGAGGCAACCAATCGATGTTTCTCTCTCACATCGATGTCTGTCTGTCTGTCTCTCTCATTTTCTCTCTCTCCCTTTTTCCCTCCCTCCCTCCCCCTCTCCCTCAAATCAATAAGAAGATCCTTGGGGAGGATTTTTTTAAAAAAATGGATATCACAAATTCATATTTTAGAGCTTTTCCTGAACTTCTGGTATGGGGCACAGCTATAGCTATTAAGAAATAAAAGGCACCAACTGAAGCTTCCTGTCAAGATGGACAGAAACAGTAAGTACCTTGGTTTGGAAGTGTCCAGCTATTCAGGTACTCAAGTTAAAGGAGGTTATTTCAAAATGAGGGCCATAAATAATAAGGGAGCAGAAAAAATCTTGCTTAGATCACAATTTTGAGATTCATCTAGTTTCCATGAAAAATGTAATTATTACAATGGTGAACTTAAAAATTTGTATCTTGCCCAACGGGTGTGGCTTAGTGGTTGAGCATCGACCTATGAACCAGGAGCTCACAGTTCGATTCCCGGTCAGGACACATGTCCAGGTTTTGGGCTTGAACCCCAGTTGGGGGTGTGCAGGAGGCAGCTGATCAATGAATTCATGACATATAACTGGGTTGCAGCTTGATCTGGGTAGGAGGCGTGCAAGAGGCAGCCAATTGATGTTTCGCTCTCATATTGACACCTCTCTCTCTCCCTCCCCAACCCCCCTGCTTGCTCTCTTTCTAAAATCAATAGAACTATTTAAAAAAACTGTATCTTGCCCTAGCTGGTTTGGCTCAATGAATAGAGTGTCGGCCTGTGGACTGAAGGGTCCCAGGTTCGATTCCAGTCAAGGGCACATGCCCGGGTTGTGGGCTCGATCCCCAGTAGGCAGGAGGCAGCCAATCAATGATTCTCTCTCATCATTGATGTTTTTCTTTCTTTCTCCTTTTCCCTTCTTCTCTGAAATAAAAATATATTTTAAAAAACAAATAAAAAATAAAATGCTCACAATGATTAAAAACAACAACAACAAAAAACCTGTATCTTATCAACTAGCATTTATTTAAATTTTAAATAGTGACCAGGCATAAAATAATGAATTTTGTCTCAAAGATATTACTGGTTATATTGAATTTCTTAGAAATGGTATAGAGTTCATTTTATTTCTGCCTTGTCCAAACTTCCATAAATTGGAGATCTATTCCTCACCTTCACTCTCTGAGCTGGAAAGCCGGCGCTTGTGAACTCGTCTGATTTCTTTACCACGCCGTAAACTTTTCTGGGAACCTTCACTCTCTGAATCTTCTTTGTAGTTAATTTGTCTTTTCTGGTTCCTCCTTGACCGCCTTCGCCGAGTCTCTACATAATCATCACTAAAGTCATCGCTAAAATCACTTTCTATTAAAAAAGAAGCAAAAGAAAAAAAAAGTCATATACAAAATTTGTTTGTTAAATAGAAATGTAGTTAGCTTAGGTTATAAGAATGCAAAGCTACTAAGAAGAGTTCATTTTAAACAATTTTTAAATGAATAATAACTTTAAGTCCCTTATTTTCTTATTAATAACTAGAGGCCCGGTGCACAAAAATTTGTGCACTCAGGGGGTCCCTCAGCCCAGCCTGTGCTCTCTCGCAGTATGGGACCCCTCAGGGGATGTCCACCTGGTGGCTTAGGCCTGCTCCCCGGGGGATTGGGCCTAAGCTGGCAGTCAGACATCCCTCTGGCAGCCCGGGAGCCCTCGGGGGATGTCCACTTGCCAGCGGGGAGCAGGTCTAA